GTGCCAATGTCGCAATCTCCTCGAGGACGGCGACACTGGCCAACACGACGTCGATTTGATCGGACGTCAAGCGCGACGGTGTCCGCAAGGCGACTTGGGCCCACGCCCGATGCATCCATGGGACGAAACACTCGATCAATGGCACAAGGTCGGCGAGCGGATCGCTGCCGTACGTCGTGTAGTAGCCATACGTCGCTTTCAGCTCAAGAAGCAGCGCCCGTTGCTCTTGAAATGTGCCGTTGTACGCATCAATGTCCGTGACCCGGTGCACGAGGTTGTCGAGCGTTGTCGGTCGTGGCCCTGGCAGCAAATGCAGATGATGCTGGCTCTCAAGACGGTCCAAAATGCGGCGAAAGGCGCACTCCGCGTCTGGCTTGGCCATCGGTTGGCACCGCAACACATGCGGGTACGCGGCATCGTGGTACGGGCGCAGAAGCAGCGGTGGCATCTACGGTATTGCACCAAGTCTTGGGCGATGGTTCGATTCGAGTACCTTGTGGCGTCGAAGAAACCGCACAATGTGTGCGGACGGCCAACAGCGCGTGAGCCGCGCGCCGCCGGTGACCATATGCGATAGAATCGCAACGACCAACAAGAGAACGTGTTGAAACACTGTCGTTTGTGCAAACGGGTGCAGTTGGATCTGACGCAAGCACCGAGTGGCGAGGATCACGAGCGCCTGAAGCACGACCGGCGTCGAGGCAATGGCATCGGCGAGATCCCGTTGCGCGAACGAAGTCGGCGCGTGGAGAATGACTTCCACGAGCGTCAAGATTGCTTCGAGTGTCTATCATTCAGTGCATTGGCATACATGGATCGCTAAAGATGGGATGCGACTACGTGAATCTCGTGGTCGCGAAAGAGTTGCGAGAGCAGAAGCGGTAGAGAAACACCGGTCACCCACGCTTGCGCCGTCGTCTCGGGATCGTGGTAGTAGAGGCTGCCTACATCGATTCCATGTTAGTTTGTCTCTAGTCGACAGGACAAGTTGTACTTAGCGCGTGCACAATTTGAAGTCGGCCCTTGAGCGATACTTTGACGGATGCGGGTCCGATGGTCACGAGCTCAAACCAGAGACTCCAGGTTTTATACACCATTTTCCATTGCGGCAACGACGCTGATTCACATGAGTCACCGGTTAACATATTTTGGACATGCAATACCATGGGAAGGGACATCGTCGACACGGTAGTACGGGATCGTCTGTGACGTTGCATCGATATTGAGGTCGACAGCAGCGCAGTAGTGTTGCAGTAACGCGTGGACCCGTACGAGTTTCGAGGACTTTGTTTCGCCCAAAACCGCGCTCAGTAGCGGCTCCGAGACACGCCACAGCGACGGCTCCCAGTGCGTCGTGTTGCCCGTTGCGACTGCCAAAAGCGCCTGAATGAGGTGGACGACCAGCGTGAGACTTGATGCGTGCTCGATCAACGGCGGGCTTGCTAGCCATGACTCAAGAACCGCCAGTGTGCTCTGCACGGTGGCGATCGCCCGCTGCGTGTCGTGGTCGGTGGTTCGAAGCCGGTGGTAGAGGCCAACGGTTGCGTCAACGAGGTGCTGCAAACCGTGTTTCTCGACCATCCACTCAAATGCGCACTGGACTTGCCAATTGGACGACGGTTGCCAATTCCTAAGCACCGTGGTAAGCGCCGTCGTCGCGCCGTCGATCTTCCGTAGTAAAGCTCCCACAGCACCGACGCCGACGTCGGCAGCCGTCCGAGAGAGTGGTTGCACAATATCCAGCTCAAAGCGAAGGGACCACTGCACATGGTCCGTCGCCAACGGCACCGGTGCGTCGGTGTGAGGCAACATTCTGGCGACGACGGCTGCCAGCGTCGACAACGATGCCGTCGCATCATTGCTGCAGCTCTTGGCGAGAGTGTTTATCGACTGAATGAAATCGGCGCAGGCGACCGATGGCGATGTCGGTGTTTGCAACTGCCGCAAAAATGATCCGAGGACGGCTCCATAGTGCACTGGTGTGTCACTGCCACCGAGGTCAAGTTGCCAGAATTTGAGCTGGCGGCCGCTCGGCGACACGAGCAGCGCCTGCACGTCCCAGCGCACAAGTGCTGCTTCGTGATGAAAGGCTACAAGGTGGCTCGCATCTAACCAGACATGAAGAAATCTGGGATAAGGAAGTGACGTTGGTACCGAGAAGCTGCTGCACCCAGGGACGAAGAAAGCCATGCAATTTGGTGGATGCACCCAGGGGGTAGACCCGAAGGACGTCGGGTAATGGTACCCACGACTCCATCGGTGCACACACCCAGTGAACGACCGTCGTCAATGCACTGCCGACGGCGCCTTCGTCGTGCTCGTCGCCATTTGCAGCATCCATGACGGCATGTGGCAGCAGTGGTAGAAACGCTGACGCGTGCTCGGGTTGTTGCTACAAAAACGTCACCTCAGATCTGAGAACGATGTATACGATGAGTACCACAAGCTGTAGCAGGAGTCGTCGCTCTGCCTTGACAGATTCCTATCAGCTTGCGCATTAGAGAAAGAACATCCACGCATAAACGAACCGTGCAACGCATGGCGATGATCGTGACGGGTCGCTTGAGCTTTGTCTGCGGCTCGTACCCGGAGCCAGAGTACGCCCAGCGGTCTCGGCTCTGCAAGCGCGGCAGCGGACATAGAATGTGGCAGTCGACCAGAGCGTGCAGCTTGGCGGGTCGCGTCGTCGGTGCAGCGATACAGGTCGCCGGTACGTCGTCCAGGAGCGCGATGCTAGCATGCACACGTCGTCCAAGCGCCTGGCCGTCATTTTGAAGTTGTCGGCGCACTGATTTCTGACGCAACCAAGCTCGATATGTCTACGCGATCGCCTCGTCAGCACCTCAACGAGATGTATCAGAGATGCCACTGCACATGGAGAATCGACGAACAGCGTGTTCGATCGTCCGAAAGAAGGCGGGTGTACGGCAAAATATGTACATATTGTCGTTGCTGCAATAGCCACTGGGCGACGATCGTCGGCGTGCACTCGGTGGCCGCCGGATGCAACTGGCTCTTCACAAAGGCATCAAAGGTTTCAAAGCGGGGCAGCGCGCAGTGGGGGTAGACGGCGTGCCACTGCGAGAAGAGACGATACACTTCCGGTAGCATCCAATGACGTGCATGGATCTGGCGGAGCAGCATGGCCACGTCGTCTAGCGACGTCATCGGTGTCGTCCGCGTCTCGAGAGCCTCTACGAGGTGCGACTGCCAAAACATAAAGCACGTCGGCGGGCGCATCGATGCGAGTGCACGGTGCAAGTGCTTCGTGGGCACTGCGCGACTGCTGTCCGGTGATATGGACGCCCACCAAGCCGACGTCCAGCGCAAGATGGATAGAAATGGACCCTCGTCAAACCGTGACGGGTGCCATAGCGCCTGTGACAGACTGTCGTGGATGGACCGGACGCAGACGTCGATCGGCGACAGTTGCAGGTACAAATTTGGCAGCCAAATGCGTCCGACCTCGTGTGCTGCAACCGGCGCCAACTCGGTCTCAGGTACGGGTACTTCGGATGCGATGCGTCGCACCCGGTGGAGCTGTAGGGCAACGTACGTTTCGGCCATCGCCGGCACGGACGCTGGCGTG